TTACATGGTTTTACAATGGTTTTACAATGGTAAATCGATTGTTTTACCATCGTTTTACAATGGTTTTACAATGGTTTTACAATGGTAAAACGATTGTTTTACCATCGTTTTACAATGGTTTTACAATGATAAAACGGTCGTTTTACCATCGTTTTACAATGGTTTTACAATGGTTTTACAATGGTAAAACGATCGTTTTACAAAGGTTTTACAATGGTTTTACAATGGTTTTACAAAGATAAAACGATCGTTTTACAATGGTTTTACAATGGTAAAACGATCGTTTTACAATGGTTTTACCATTGTTTTACCATTGTTTTACAATCGTTTTACAATGATTTTACAATGGTTTCCCTGCTGCAAAATCCAGCTTAAACCAGCCTAGGCTTTTTGTCTGGTTTTAGAGGGGCTTTGGCTATATTCAGGCTGGTTTCCAGCCATTTCCAGCTTGGTCTTAGCTGGTTTTACAATGGTTTTAAAATCGTTTTACAATGGTTTTACAATGGTTTTACAATGGTTCTACAATCATTTTACAATGGTTTTACAATGGTTTTACAATCATTTTACAATGGTTTTACAATCATTTTACATTGGTTTTACCATCGTTTTACTATGGTTTTACAATCGTTTTATCATCGTTTTACAATGGTTTTACAATCGTTTAATCATCATTTTACAATGGTTTTACAATGGTTTTACCATTGTTTTACAATGGTTTTACAATCGTTTTTCCATCGTTTTACAATGGTTTTACAATCGTTTTACAATGGTTTTACCATTGTTTTACAATGGCTTTACCATCGTTTTACAATCCTTTTACAATGGTTTTACCATTGTTTTACCATTGTTTTACAATCGTTTTACAATGATTTTACAATGGTTTCCCTGCTGCAAAATCCAGCTTAAACCAGCCTAGGCTTTTTGTCTGGTTTTAGAGGGGCTTTGGCTATATTTAGGCTGGTTTCCAGCCATTTCCAGCTTCGTCTTAGCTGGTTAGGCTGGAAAATGACCAGCTAAATCTAGCTAAAACCAGCTTGACCAGCCTGGTTTAAGCTGGTCAAGCTGGTATTAGCTGGTCATCTCCCAGCCTGACCAGCTAAGAACTGGCTGGAAACCACCCTGGAAATGGCCAAAACACCTCTAAAACCAGCCTGGTCGACCAGCTAAAACCAGCCAACCAGCCTAGGCTGGTTTAAGCTGGTTTTTTCAGCAGGGTCGTTTTACAATCGTTTTACCATCATTTTACCACCGCATTACGATCGTTTTACCACCGTTTTACAATCGTTTTACCATCGTTTTACCACCGTTTTACAATCGTTTTACCACCATTTTACAATCGTTTTACCACCGTTTTACCATCGTTTTACAATGGTTTTACAATGATAAAACGATGGTTTTACAATGGTTTTACAATGGTTTTACAATGGTTTTACAATGGCTTTACAATGGTTTTACATTGGTTTTACAATGGTTTTACAATGATTTTACAACGGTTTTACAATGGTTTTACAATGGCTTTACAATCGTTTTACAGTGGTTTTACAATAGTTTTACAATGGTTTTAAAATGATTTTACAATGGTTTTACAATGGTTTTACAATGGTTTTACAATCATTTTACAATGGTAAAACGATCGTTTTACAATGGTTTTACAATGGTTTTACAATGGTAAATCGATTGTTTTACCATCGTTTTACAATGGTTTTACAATGGTTTTACAATGATAAAACGGTCGTTTTACCATCGTTTTACAATGGTTTTACAATGGTTTTACAATGGTTTTACAATGGTAAAACGATCGTTTTACAAAGGTTTTACAATGGTTTTACAATGGTTTTACAAAGATAAAACGATCGTTTTACAATGGTTTTACAATGGTAAAACGATCGTTTTACAATGGTTTTACCATTGTTTTACCATTGTTTTACAATCGTTTTACAATGATTTTACAATGGTTTCCCTGCTGCAAAATCCAGCTTAAACCAGCCTAGGCTTTTTGTCTGGTTTTAGAGGGGCTTTGGCTATATTCAGGCTGG